CAGCACTACCACGCCCCAGCACGACCACACCCCAGCACGACCACACCCCAGCACGACCACACCCCAGCACGACCACACCCCAGCACGACCACACCCCAGCACGACCACACCCCAACACGACCATACTCCAGCACGACCACACCCCAGCACGACCACACCCAGTCGCACCCCCGTGGAATGTTTCGTGGGGTGTCTGGGTGAGTGGTTGCCTGTTCGTGGGGTGTCTCGTGGAATGTTTCACGGGGTGTCTCGTGGAATGTTTCGTGAGGTGTCTCGTGGAATTTTTCGTGAGGTGTCTCGTGGGATGTTTCGCGGGGTGTCTCGTGGGATGTTTCGTGAGATGTCGCCCAGTTGGGTATCCTGAAAACGTGGTCCATGCTCCACATGTCCCTATATCCCTTTCCGGGTTTCGTGGGTCCATCATGTTGGGACCCTGAACCCCGCCGATCTGCGTGAGGGGTGCCGCCGGACGTCAGAAAGTTGAACATCCTTGTGTTTTTTACCCGGAAGGGCCGCCGCCCAGGGTTCTCTTTAGTGGGTACCTGTCCCCTGGTGCCAACTTGAAGGAGGCCGGCGAATTTTTTCCCTGATAATATCGAGGTCGAAGGAGGCCGGCGAATTAAAATTTGAGGATGTCTCGAGCGAAACGCTTGTTTTTGAAATCCCGATCGATAAATCACAGGGTGCGGGCCACTTTTTCGTGTGTTGAGGATGTCTCGAGCGAAACGCTTGCTCCGCAGAGTTTGCCGAGGATGTCTCGAGCGAAACGCTTGTTTTGCAGAGCCGACCGCGACGCGGAAAAAGCGCCCCGCGCGAAGGAATTTCGATGATGTCTCGACTAATTCCTTTGTTTTTGTACGATTTCCTGGAATTTTGGCAGGATGTCTCGAGCGAAATGCACGACCCCACCCTAGCACGACATACCCCAGCACGACCACACCCCAGCACGACCAGACCCCAGCACGACCCCACCCCAGCACGACCCCACCCCAGCACGACCATACCCCAGCACGACCACACCCCAGCACGACCCGACCCCAGCACGACCCTACCCCCAGCAAGACCACGACCCCAGCACGTCCGACACCCCAGCACGACTCACCACCAGCACGACCACAGCCCCAGCACGACCACAGCCCAGCACGACCACGCCCCAGCACGACAACCACGATGGCAATCCCCAGCACGACCACGCCTCCCACACGACCACCCCCCCAGCACGACCACCCCCTCATCACGACCACCCCCCACAACGTACACCCCCAGCTCACGACCACTCCCCAGCACGACCACACCCCAGCACGACCACACCCCAGCACGACCACACCCAGTCGCACCCCCGTGGAATGTTTCGTGGGGTGTCTGGTTGAGTGGTTGCCTGTTCGTGGGGTGTCTCGTGGAATGTTTCACGGGGTGTCTCGTGGAATGTTTCGTGAGGTGTCTCGTGGAATGTTTCGTGAGGTGTCTCGTGGGATGTTTCGCGGGGTGTCTCGTGGGATGTTTCGTGAGATGTCGCCCAGTTGGGTATCGTGAAAACGTGACCATGCTGCACATGTCTTTATCCCTTTCCGGGTTCGTGGGTCCATCATGTTGGACCTTGACCCCGCCGACCTGCGTGAGGGGTGCCACCGAATGTCAGAAATGTGGCAAATCCCTTGTGTTTTGGACCCTGACCCCGCCGATCTGCGTCAGGGGTGCCACCGAATTTCAAACATGTGGCAAATCCCTTGTGTTTTGGACCCTGACCCAACGAATCTGCGTGAGGGGTGCCACCGAATTTCAGAAACGTGGCAAATTCCCTTTGTTGTTGGATCCTGACCCCGCCGATCTGCGTGAGGGGTGCCATGAAATCCCACCAGCCCTTTAGGGCGTAGGTGGTCTAGAGCGTTTCCTCTGCCAACCCCCCTTCTTTCCCTTCGGGGAGGGGTTTACCCCTCCCCTTACCCCTCCCCACTGACCTGGACGAGGCGTCCCGCGAGGTGTCAGGGACGCCCAAGATGGCTCAAGACGGCTCCAAGAGCGAAAAAGCGAGAAAGCACAAAACATTGATTTTCCTTAGGTTTTGGAAGGATTTTGGCCTCTTGGGGGGGCCCAAGAGGCGCTTCGAGGCACTCTAGAGGGGCAACCCTAATTGGAGCTCCCCCCTTCTTTGATAGATCTCCTCCAAGATGGCCCCAAGAGCGCCCCGAAGGCTCCCAAGAGCGCCCCAAGAGCGCCCCAAGAGGGCCCCAAGAGACCCCAAGAGGCCCCCAAGAAGCCTCTAAGAGGCTGCCAAGAGACCCCCAAGAGGCCCCAAGAGAGTTCAAGATGGCCCAAGACGGCTCCAAGAGCGAAAAGGCGAGAAAGCAAAAAACATTGATTTTCCTTAGGTTTTGGAAGGATTTTGGCCTCTTGGGGGGCCCAAGAGGCGACTCGAGGCACTCTAGAGGGGCAACGCTAATTGGGGACCCCCTCTTCTTTGATCGATCTCCTCCAAGATGGCCCCAAGAGCGCCCCGAAGGCTCCCAAGAGCGCCCCAAGAGCGCCCCAAGAGCGCCCCAAGAGGCCCCAAGAGGCGCCCAAGAGGCCTCCAAAAGGCTCCCAAGAGACCTCCAAGAGGCCCAAGAGGCTCCCAAGACGGCCCAAGACGGCTCCAAGAGCGAAAAGGCGAGAAAACACAAAACATTGATTTTACCTAGGTTTTGGAAAGATTTTGGCCTCAAGAAGGGCCCAAGAAGCGATTCGAGGCACTCTAGAGGGGCAGCGCTAATTGAGGACCCCCCCTTCTTTGATAGATCTCCTCCAAGATGGCCCCAAGAGCGCCTCGAAAGCTCCCAAGAGCGCCTCCAAGAGCGCCCCAAGAGAGCCCCAAGAGGCCCCAAGAGGCCCCCAAGAGGCCTCTCCCCGAGATCGCAAGAGGCCCCCGGGACCGCCAAGAGGCTCCTCCAAGCTCGCCATCCTTCCTCCTCCTCCTCCTCCTCCTCGCCTCCTCCCTCGCAGTCCTCCATCTCCTCCTCCTTATCTTCCTCCTCCTCCTCCTGCTCCTCCTCCTGCTCCTCCTCTTCCTCCTCCTACTCCGACGACGACGGCTCCTCCTACATCCTCCCCCTCTGGGGTATATGGCGGCTCACCCCGCCCTCTGTTCTTCTGCATGCTCCCCCGCTTCCCTCATAACCTCCACTCCCCTGGGACTCATTTCTGGACGGGCTGGTGGGGATACGCGAAGCGTCTAGAATTTCAGAAATGTGCCAACTCCCTTGCGCTTCCTGGAAAGGGCGCAGGCCCAGGGTTCTCTTTTAGTAGGTTTACCCCCGGATCTGACAGGAAGAGGGCCGGCGGATTTCTTTTGCGATAAATAACGAGTGGGAAGAGGGCCGGCGAATTAAAAATTGAGGATGTCCCTAGCGAAACGCTTGTTTTCAGAATTTGTTGAGGATGTCTCGAGCGAAACGCTTGTTTTGTGTTATAGATTGTCCTCTCTTGGGGATCAGAATTTAGAGGATCTCTCAAGTGAAATGCTTGTTTTCACGTGCCCAGGTCTTGAGGATGTCTCGAGCGAAACGCTTGGTTTCACGCCTCCAGGTGGCCAAGACAGATGTCTAGCATGAGGATTTGTTGAGGATGTCTCGAACCAGAGGCTTGTTTTCACGTGTCCAGGTCGCCCAGGCGGATGTCTGCATGAGCATTGGTTGAGGATGTCTCGAGCGAGACGCTTGTTTGCACGTGTCCAGGTTGCCCAGGCGGATGTCTAGCATGAGGATGTGCTGACAACGTCTTGAGCGAAACGCGTGTTTTCACGTGTCCAGGTCGCCCAGGCACAGCACAGCCCTCGGCACGGTACATCAATATCGATACCCTTAGCATTGCAGCCTGGCATGTTGCCTGGCACGTTCCGCGGAGCGTCCCGTGGCGAGTCCCCCTGGCACGTCGCGCGGTGCACGTCCATTGGCACGTTCCGTAGCGCGTCCCCTTGGCACGTCCCGCTGTCCGTGCCCATGGCACGTCCCCTGGCACGTTGCCTGGCGCGCTCCCTTGGGACGTTCCGCGGCGCG